CTTCTGGAGTGAAAAAATATCGTTAACCGGGGGTCCACTGTAGTTGGATTAGGTTAAATTACACTTGTTATAATAAGGTCAGGTAAGTTTCCTAAGGTTCTTATGGTACGAAATTACTGTATTAATTTTGACATTAACATAAATGAAAAATATGTGTTTAAACGTATAAGAGAAAATTTTAGAAAGGACTTAATTTTAAATGTGTTCTTGCTAATTGACCAGTTTTACCTATTCGGCACGACATATATACTCTAGCCTCAACTAAACACTCTCAAACTACATACAAGTTTCTGCTGAACTACAGGACCCACCAGGTTACCCACTACCCAAATACACATGAAAAGATGTGGCCTGGGAAGTCATTTTAAGACAGACGTCTGACAGAACAAGCTTGATATAACAGTCATAACCTCAGCAACTGGCCTTTCATACCCAGATATCCTGGCAAGTACCACACATCAGCAAGACTACATGGCCTTGAACCATGCACGGAGACAGGCTTATCATTCTGAGAGTTTGTTGACCACAGGCTGGTAAAAAAGAATATTGAACCAAGGCCAACAGTGTGTATTGGGAATATGAGTAGACAGCAAACTAGTTATAATAATAATAATAATAATAATAATCTTTATTTTTACAAATACAGTGGACCCTCGGTTTACGATATTATTTCATTCCAGAAATACGTTCAGGTGCCAGTACTGACCGAATTTGTTCCCATAAGGAATATTGTGAATTAGATTAGTCCATTTCAGACCCCCAAACATACACATACAAATGCACTTACATAAATACACTTACATAATTGGTCGCATTGGGAGCTGATTGTAAACCGGGGGTCCACTGTATATGTATAAGGTATACAGGCCTAGCTGACATCAATGACATATTACTAAATAGAAAGCCCCTTGATATTACCTGGAGTTTACCTGGAGAGGGTTTCGGGGGTCAACGCCCCCACGGCACAGTCTGAGACCAGGCCTCATGGTGGATCAGGGTCTGATCAACCAGGCTGTTACTGCTGGCCACATGCAAGCTGATGTACAAACCACAGCCCGGTTGGTCAGGTACTGACTTTAGGTGCTTGTCCAGTGTCTTCTTGAAGACAGTCAGGGGTCTATTGGTAATCCCCCTTATGTATGCTGGGAGGCAATTGAACAGTCTTGGGCCCCGGACACTTATTGTGTTGTCTCTCAGTGTATTCGTGGTGCCCCTGCTTTTCATCGGGGAAATGTTGCATCTCCTGCCGAGTCTTTGGCTTTCATAGGCAGTGATTTTCGTGTGTAAGTTTGGTACCAATCCCTCCAGGACCTTCCAAGTGTATATTACCATGTTGTATCTCTCACCTGCATTCGAGGGAATACAGATCAAGGACCTTCAACCATTCCCAGTAGTTTAGGTGTCTTATCGTACTTATGTGTACCGTGAAAGTTCTTTGTACACTCTCCAGGTCTGCAATGTTGCCAGCCTTGAAGGGGACAGTTAGTGTACAGCAGTATTCCAAGTTAGAGAGCACAAGCAATTCGGAGAGAATCATCATGGGCTTGGTGTCCCTAGTTTTGAAGGTTCTCATTATCCATCCTATTGTTGAGGTCTTTGAAGGCGAGATCTTCTGAATATGCCGAGTATTTCGGGCAAATTATGTCAATTTTGTCCCTAGGATGTGACTCAAACCAGTCCACTAACATCCTGCTACCCATTTTACTGCTAGGTGAACATTGGACTGCAGGTGTCTTAAGGAAACATATCTTAATGCTACCAACCGTACCAGGGATCAACCCTTGGACCAAAGTGTGTGAGGTGAGTGCGCTATCGATAGAGCAACAGGACCCAAACAGATAGTTATCAGGTGAGTAGTATTACTAGAGCTGCCAGTAAACACAAGAGGCTCACTTGTTAACACAAAGAGTCCTCAATAGTAATAATGCTTGTTACCTGCTCCGCAAGTAAACATCTTGATCCTTGAAGCATGAGTTGAATCACACTCAAGATAATGAGCAAAGGTTACCCTCCAAAACAGCACTAAGAGTGCCCATCCATCACACATCAAAATGCACCTTTAGCTGGTGAGGGACACGTGCAACAGTTAGGTAACTTTATTCAGAAACGTTTTCACCTACTGTGTAGGCGACACATTTCGGAATAAAGCAGTAAAAATATAATGATGTAATCAGTAAAGCAGTAGAGATGTCAAGACGATGTAATCAGTCCATCAGTAGAGATGTCAAGACGATGTAATCAGTCCATCACACTTGAAAACGTAGAGTATTGCTTCATAGTCTGGAACAATGTCCAGACTGAGGGACTGACTACCTCAGTCATGGACTGATCACACTGTCTTTACATCTCAACTGCTTCTGCTGCCTCGGAATAGACTGAAGAAGTCTACTATGTGGGGGAAACGTTTCAGAATAAAGACACCTGTCACACACGTGTCTTGCTTATCGATTTGTCAGTATTGTATACCATTATCATATTCACATGGTGCTGGAACTGACCA